AATACATGTTCCAGATTGGTGGTATTTTACAGTCCATTGATAAGAGGCTGGTGGACCAAATTGACAATCTTGTTGGGGAAGGAGTAAAGACTGTAGGTGAAATGAAAAGGCATCTAAAACAGTTTGTCAAAACAGAAATGTTCCCTGGACAGCCCATACCACCACTGACAAATAGGAGGTTTCATCCAACTGATGTTGACATAAGGAACCACATTTATAAGACAACAGTGAAACAAATGATGTCCAAACTTGATCAAGAGAACCTGGAAAAGAAAATAGAAAAGTGGCGTGAGGAATGCAATGGTGACTTATTCTATTTCAGGCCTTGTGCACTGTCATCTAATGCCAAAAATCAGGAGGATAATCTGGATGAAGATGTGGAAGAAGACCTTCTGTTTGCCTATCAAACAGAATGGCAGAAACGTCTCATGGTTCAGTATGGGAACGAAATAACATTGCTTGATGCAACATATAAGACAATGAAATATGAGTTGCCACTTTTTTTCCTTGTTGTCAAAACAAATGTGAATTATATTGTTGTTGGCAGTTTTGTCATTCAACATGAAACAACTTCATCAATCCGTGAAGCACTAGACYTCTTCCACAGATGGAATCCCACTTGGAAGCCAAACTACTTTATGACAGATTTCTGTCATGAGGAAATTAATGCTATTGAAAGCATTTTCCCAGGTAGTATACAATTGTAATAATTTTATATTGCATTTATTAAGTCTTTCTTATTAAGAAGAAATAGCCTACAATCAATTGTTAATAATAATTAATTCTATTTGTATTTGTTTTGCCATCGAATAGACACAACAACATATATCTGTGACTTTCATCGAGAGCAATGCTGGGAGAGGTGGCTCAGAAAAAGTGAAAATGGCCTAACAGAGCACAGAAAACTGATTCTTGCTATGCTAAGAAATGTGGCCAAAGCATCGTCCGAACTGAAACTTAAAGAAGCTTTGTCTTTACTAAAATCTAGCAGTCTTTGGATGGAAAATGTGAAGTTGCAGAACTGGTTTGAGAAAACTTGGCTTGTAGAGATTAAGGTGCCTCCATTATTCCATCATATATTTTATTAATATAAATTCTCTCCTAAATTGCCATATAATGAGCAAATAAATTATACAGAGAGACAACATTGTTATCAAAATTAGACAATTTCATATATGAACATAATAGTCTATATTAAATTCATGCCACGAAGTTGTGAAGAAGTTGTGTCAAGATTGCTAAATTTTATTACAATGAAAATGACTTCTGCTTTGCTCTTTATTCGGAGTTTTGAATTTGCAATTTCTTTGGCTTGCGCAGAATTTAAAATAAGGATTTGCAAATGACTTTAAGTGTTCTTTTATCTTTTCAACTTGACAATGTTAATGGGATGGACTGCTTAAAAACATATTCCTGATACTAATATTAAATATTAATTGCAATTGTCGTTTCATTTTTCAGAGATGGGCGTGGACATACAGGCAAAATAGATTTATGGTTAGCATAAATACTAATAATGGAATTGAAAGGCAAAATGAATCACTAAAATATCAATATTTGAAAGATCGTAAAGCCAACACTCTCAGTGGACTGGTCACTATATTGATTAATGAATTCTTTCCTGACAAGTACCGAAGGTATTTGTTGTTTACTCTATAAATGTACAAATTATGTCTTTGAAATAAATTTGAACATATTCACATTTATAAGCCCAAATCTCTTAACAAATGATGTAGAGTATTGCTAGCAGTGTCATTTAAACCTAAGTACACTCTCCTTTGGTACATCACTGTCTATCAAAATCACCCTCTGAATATAACATTAATTATTCCAGGTATGTTGAGCTTAACATGCAATGCAGTCAGGGGTACAGACTGTATAACAAAGACATTCCAGAATACCTTCATGACAAGCCAAGACCATTTGTTGACCATTGTAGACGAAGAATCATATCTGCAAAAGAAATAATGCCATCAGACATAAAAGAAACATGCAAAGCTGGTCAATTTCAAGTTCGATCGACTAGCAACAACAATCAATGGTATGATGTTTCTTTTGGAAAAGAAGACTTAATGCCAACTTGCAGCTGTCCAGACTTTAAGTACAATGGCTTTCTTTGCAAACATTTCTTTGCTATCTTTGAGCACTGCCCTGACTGGAACTGGAATTCTTTACCTAAGCTTTACTGCAAAAATCCTCATCTTTCCCTTGACAAATTTGTAACAAGTAACCATAAACACACTTATAAATGTGAANTATTGCTAGCAGTGTCATTTAAACCTAAGTACACTCTCCTTTGGTACATCACTGTCTATCAAAATCACCCTCTGAATATAACATTAATTATTCCAGGTATGTTGAGCTTAACATGCAATGCAGTCAGGGGTACAGACTGTATAACAAAGACATTCCAGAATACCTTCATGACAAGCCAAGACCATTTGTTGACCATTGTAGACGAAGAATCATATCTGCAAAAGAAATAATGCCATCAGACATAAAAGAAACATGCAAAGCTGGTCAATTTCAAGTTCGATCGACTAGCAACAACAATCAATGGTATGATGTTTCTTTTGGAAAAGAAGACTTAATGCCAACTTGCAGCTGTCCAGACTTTAAGTACAATGGCTTTCTTTGCAAACATTTCTTTGCTATCTTTGAGCACTGCCCTGACTGGAACTGGAATTCTTTACCTAAGCTTTACTGCAAAAATCCTCATCTTTCCCTTGACAAATTTGTAACAAGTAACCATAAACACACTTATAAATGTGAAGAGAGTGACCTGCATTCAGCAGAATCTGACTTGCCCATTGAACAATCAATCCCAGATACAAATACCAAAAATCCACTTCCAAAACAAGAATTTAAAGATAGCAACCAAGATGTTATAATTAGAAAAGAAGCAATGGCATGTAYGGAGATGTTAAAAAGCCTTATGTCATTGACATACAATATTGAAAATCTAGATGCCTTGCAAAGGCTAAATGCACATCTTAAGTCAACATGGATAGAGTATAAAGGGCACCAAACTTATGAAAAAGATGATTCCTTACTGAAAAAGAATAGAGCAAGTACTGATTCACAAAAACCCAAGGCCAGTAATTCCCACTACCTAAAGTTGCCCATCAGACCCAAGAAAAARAAATYCAAAAAAAGGTTTGGAGAGCATGCATCAATGATGCAAACCCATTATCAAGTCAATGTTCCTGTTATAAARGCCAACCCTGAAAAGCCAAAAAAAAGGAAAATGAATGATGTCGCCTTCACAGTACCTCAAAGTGCAAAATGTCCAAAACAGCAGACAACAACCTCACCCAGTGGAGTAAAAGGGACTTCACAAGCTGCAAAAAATACTGTCAGGTAGAGTATGCAATAAATAAATTTATAGCACTGGCTAATTAAAGTGTGTCATTATAATATATAAGAGGACAGATGCACTGTGGGTGCTGACATTCATCATGTCTCGTGCTAGACATTAAACAATTTAATTTATGGATTTTGGTAATATCATAAAACCAAAAAAATAAAACACTGCTGAAACACTGTTTTCTTGTTGCTATATAATATTATTCATTTGGTACTGGTACGTACTTTGTTATAATGATATAATGTCATCTTTTCATTCAAGCACAAGTGTGCATCCAATAAATCGCATCAAGCTGGCAAGTAACTTTGGGATAAAACCTGAAGATGCAATGTTGGAAGTCCATTCAATTGCTGTATCCTTATTAGACCTGTGGACACTCCTTCCACCAGATCAGATTACAAATAGTGAAAGTCGCTCATTAGCAAAATATGACTTCAAAGCTGGTTACCTAGCTGACACGGTAAATAGTGTATTCTAAGAACACTTAAATATGAACCTCCTTTATATCATACAGTGTACATTTCATGTCCAGTTTGAAATTATTATTTCTCACAGTCTGAGTGGTGTTTGCCTAATGCCTTATAATATATAATCACAATATTTTGATTAAAATGAATTTGATTTCAAGTGCAGTCATAATATGGATGTTAAATCATACATTGATTTTCTTTGCTTTTTATTTTTTTACAGATTATTGACACCCATTTCAAATACCTGGAAGAGGCAAATTCTACAATTATTGCCACTGATACATGCATCTGTCAGGTCATTATACATGGGGGCAGTACAAAGCGAACATGGGCAGATAAAGACTTGACCAATTCAACACTGATTCTCTTCCCCCNTCAATAATTTTCTTATTACAAGAATATTAGTTTTTTTAAGATAAAGAAACCTCTTTGTTTAATTTTTAGGAAAGTACTTGAAGAAAAACTTGGTTGGAATACTTCCAAATGGAAATGCATAGAGCCACCTCATTTAAAACAACAAGATAACTATAATTGTGGTATCTTTGTTTGTCATGTAAGCAAAACTATGTATAATAAATAGCCGCAAAAATTTGGATTATTATGATGATTAGTGATTATGAGATTATTTAGCAATTAACATTATTAAGAATGCAATTAACACTGTATTGCATAAATATTATTATAATTGGTTTCTTAAGTTAAAAAGTGCAACGAAGGTTTTGGAATTATTTTTTTTTAGCATGGTATTATTCATGAATTATACATAACCTCCTAAGTTATATTTCTCTTTTGCTAGTTTGGTAGGTGCTTGGCAGAAGAATTAGATGCTTGCCAGCCATTCATGCCAAGGGATATTAGGATAGATATGCTGTCTAAACTTTTTGGATCCTGTTATGATGATATGGGGATGTAAGTTATGAATTTATTATATGAATTTATTTATAAATTTATTTTTATATTTATTAAATTATTAAACCAACATACATTATGAGTTCAAATTTTTTTCTACGCAAACCTTTTAGTCTTGCTACTAATTAGTATTTCATTATTATTGGCTAATACAAATTAGCCCATTGGAAGGCAGCTTATCAAAAAAATAATAATAATTTGCAATTATTTTAATTTTCAATAATGTTCTTTTAAGCATTTCTTGAATTCCAAGGAAAAGAATGATCTCTACATAAAAAAAAAAACAATTTCTTTGACATTTGTAGGCAATGGAATCAAGATGAATGCAAGAAATGCCATAACAGCAAAGATACCTTCAACATGCAATGCTGCATGAAGTGTGGGCAATATTTTCATAGAAAATGCTTACCAAACAGTAAACAGGAAATTGTTTGTAATTAATTAAGCTATATCCTTTGTAAACTTATTTAAAAATCCACAAAACAATGAAAGCATTCTAGTTCCTTCATGAATTCATTTGTTTTCCATTGTCAATTAATATCAACTTGTTATGATCTTTCACGGATTTAGTGAATGCACTTTTCAACAAACTGGTGTTGCAAACAGTACATAATTTATTTAATTGTTCACACTCTATGCAAATATTAAATACATTAGTAGCAAAAGGAAGAATAGAACACTCACCTTTTTTCCTTAATATATTATGAGCTCCAACACTTTCCCGACGTAACACGACACTTCAAAGAAGGTTCGAGGAAGGTTCGGAAATGTATCACCGACTTCCGGTTCTCGAGCGTCAATGTCAGTTYGGAAGATGGATATTTGTTCCAGCTTCGGTGTACTTTCCATCCTTCAAAGTGACGTTCATCCGCGTTTGCTTTTTCGTTTCTTTACTTGCTAGTTTAACTGCTACGATGAGTATATAAGTACTCAAGCAAGGAAAGTAGTCATAGCATCGTAGACAAAAGTGTGTAGTTTATGATAAAACTATAGATTCTGTGGTCAAAACCGTTGTCCGTTCTCGAAATTCAATTCTAAAACTACCTAATTATTGATATTAGCCTACCTTGTCATTTCTACAACTCATTCAATTTAAAAGTAAAGAATTTCGATAAATCTCAACAGTCACAACAATACTACACTCGGAAATCCGAAGAGTCACCCCGAAGATATTTACCCGAAGTCATGTGACGTCAGGTCATTTTGGGAGATGGAAACAAGTGACGACCTAACTCCTCAGAGACTGGTAAGCCTGTGGTAAAATGCTTAATTTTCATTTTCTCGTCGTGAAATTAACATTTCAAACTGAAAATCATGAGATAATTAAGAAATCTCACGATGTATTGTTATTTGAAAGAAAATTGTCGATTTCTTTTGTTTTTCGGTTAAAAAGGAGCAAAATTATATTTGTCACGTGACCAGTGTTTCATACCTTGTCACAGACTAGTTTGTATCCCGCGAGGCGCGCGATCGTGACGTAATACCACAGGTAACCCACAGCACGCGCCGATTCGATAACATAATATAAAAGCGTGCGCATTCATTCTTTTCTTTCTCTCAAGCAATAGTTGGGTAGCCTATGGCAAATCCAGTCGATTCCTCCAGAGTCTTTCCGGCGTCAGCATACCGCTGACATTAGCCGAGAAGACTCTGGGCTCGAGACAATGGGCTCGAGATTGAAAACGTAAGACTCTGCGTCAAGCATTGACTTCCGCTGGATGGCAAAAGTGCGGGCTCTGGGTACGAGATTCAATGTTTGAAATGACGCTAGTTCACGATGATCCACTCCGTATTCCGCCCTTCTTTCTTCACAAAAACAGCAAAATAAGACTTTTAATCCATCATCAGCCAACATTAACCTGTGTTTTACGTCGGATTCTTTTGGAAAAAAGCATTCCCCTCCGCCCAGTCCCTCCCCTCCCCCTCCCCCAAAGAAGATTGTGTAATTGCTGGTCAACAATACCGCTGGCTCATTTAAAAGAAAAATATTACGAAATCAACAAGGTTGTTAGCGAATGCTTTGAAAAATTGATCTTTTTATTCTGTTAGAAAATTATTATGTCTCTTCAAAAAATTACTCGCCTTTTTGATGACGTTCGGACCACAAGCAATGGCAACCTTTCTACTTTGAAAGATCGTGTTCGCAATCTCCTCGCGACAACAAATATTGGTAAGCTCAAGTTACGTTTGTCAGAAATATCAAGATTTTACTTAAAAGCAAAGCTTAAGCTTACATATTTCAAT